AAGGATAGGATACCACATAGGACATGACAAAATAGGATAGTGTGGGACAGGACAGGACAAGAAAGAACATGACATGATAGGACAAGATAGGAGAGGAGACAAGAAGACAAGACAAGACAAGAGAGGGGACAGGATAGGACAAAGGAGAGGATATGACATGATATGGGATACGATGATGTGATAAGTCAGGATAGCACTAGAATATGATAAAGGTAGGATAGGGTAGAACTGGACGTGACGAAACAAGATAGGACAAGATAGAGTATAGATGGGATAAAAAAGGATAAGGTAAGAGAGAAAAAGCGGGGAAGCAAGATAGGATAGGATATGACACATGCCTATATTAGGTCTCCTGCCATATAGGATAGGATACAACACATGCCTATATTAGGTCTTGAGACATGCATCATCTTATTCCTCCCTTAAGCCATACCATTGCAAATCAACCAGGGAGAGCTCCGAAGGAGGAAAGAAATCCGGGAAACAATCCCGAGGTCTGAGGGAGTCTCCGGGCTGAAGCGTAAACCAGTTACGAAAAACAATCTGGAAGTCCCGTTGAAGATGACCCGCTGTTTCTTCCGCCCCTGGCCAGCGCACCTCACCCAATCCCCTCCCTGCAGTTCCCCCAAGCCAGTCCAAATTAAATTTCTGAATATGTTGTAGAATATCTTTTTTTTGGTGAAAGAACATTAATTTGGTTTTAAGGGTCGACAAGTGAGCCCTGATTTCTGTTTGTATGAATTGGACAATAAGTTCAGCAACCTCTAGACCTTCCAAACGGGCTCCTTCTCGTACTCTGACACAATGTCTGTATAGATTTTGGATGGGTAGGGAGCTTGGCTGACAAGTGGCATCTGGCGGACCCTCTGGGACTGAAGAGGCTCTCCTATCCTTTTGATCATACACTCATTGCAATGTACTTTTGGGGACGCTGGACCCGTTTTCCAGCAGGTTCTGCTCCCCTCCAATAGAAAGGAGCCATCGCAGGGGTATGGTACCTGATGATGCTCATATCATCTCAGGTAGCAGTCCCAGCGGGTGTTATTTAAAAAAAAAAAAAAAGGTCTTGAGACATGCACATATTAGGTCTCCTGCCATATAGCATAGGATATGAGACATGCCTCTATTTAGGTCTTACTTTTCCCAACATGCCCATATGATTGAACGTAACAGAACAAGATAGGATAGGATAAAGGATAGGATAGGACAGGAAATGACAAGTTAAGGGAGCAAAGAGAAGACACAAGATACCATATAGGATATTGGGTATGCCATATGACTATAAGGGGTCTCAAAGTTGCTCAACATGCCGGGGATATCTTTGCTTCTATTTGGTGGCCGGCAAGGGTCAATTAGGGTAGGGAGGAAACAAAAGGTAGTTTGACTCTGTACTAGTCTGTAGGCATTATGCATGCATATATGTACGTATGGAGAGAAAATCGTCAATGGAAAGCCTCCTACCCTTCTTCATTACACATTCACAGTTCCATCATATAAATCTCCATATGGCTAATTAGCTACTCGGCCTTTTAGGACCGACTTGATTCCTCTTGAAGGTACTCATGTGATCTGTCAACCAAGCATCATCAACACCTCTCCTCAGGTGCTATTTTATTTGTTCAATGACCACTCAAGTGTTGCTCCTACAAAGGCGCTTGCACGGTGGCTTGATAGTGCCACTGCCATTTCGTCAAAATGGACATTTTTTATTTTTTGAACAAAATTGAAACCGAGTTTTTTGGCCGACAACTTGTCCAAATTTGCTGCTCCTGAGGGTCCGGCGTCTTTAAAATGCTGGACCTCCTGGATGTATGTGGACTTAGCTTGATACCAGATACATCCAGGGGGGACCGCCTGGGGATAGTGTGCATGATGGATTGATTTAGTTGCGAACTTGTGAGACCAAATGGCAACAGCCTGGGTACATGGTGCTTCAGACTTCTGAAAGCACTGCGGGGATAGCCTGCATGATGGATAGATTTAGTTGTCAATCATTGAGCATTGCTAGATGCATGCATGGTGTTGATGTTGTGAGCTTCTCAGTGTTGGGGGGGGGCTCATTACAACGTACTTTCTGCAGAAGTTTCTAAAATTTGTGCACCATGCCGTACAAACCCATGTTCGTACAGACGTCTGTAAGGACATTTTAGACAGCTAGAAGGGCCCTGTACAGACGTCCGTAAGGACATTTTAGACAGGTAGAAGGGCCCTGGACATCGGTGCTGGTAGCCTGGCAATGAAGTTCGGGGTGATGCCAGAACCAATGAACACCATTCGTATTGTCCTAAGCAACTCGACAAACATGAAAATGGGCAAGTGACGATGAACAGAAAATGCAATTGAGAGAGGACCCCTTCAGTGATCTTTCATACGCACCCGAAATGACGAGCAAAACCAATCACAATGCGGCGCTCGTGCCACAAGTCCACAAATGGGATCTCCTTCCCCTGCAGGTTGAGAACCGTTAAGCCATGCAGTGCCACGCCTACGCCTAAACCTTGCTCTGCAGTCCTATCTGTGATGGCAGTCCCAAGTTTCCCTGCAGCAGACAGTTATACATCTACTGCATCAATACCAGTTCCACGAGTCCCATCCTCTCTCTCTCTCTCTCTCTCTCTCTCTCTCTCTCTCTCTCTCTCTCTCTCTCTCTCTCTCTCTCCTCCCCCCATACAATGGCAACATGCACACTCGAAAAGCGCACAGGCTCATGCAAAGGCACACACATAAACTATCATTTGATCAGTCAATGGATTGATTGACAGACTGTGATCAATCGATTGATTGTTTGATATGCATGCACTTACTCATCACATGTAAGGTTTACCCTAGATGACCTGTTGAGAGGCGGTTAATGGAGGCCTCAAATTTCAGACAAACCTCGCATGCCATTTACCTCGGATGATGGTCAGGCCTAGATTTCTCTTCTTTAAAAAAAAAAAAAGATTGGGGGCCGACGCACGAGTGCCCCGCTACCAGAAATAACGCCATAGTAACACCGTCGTGGCTGTGACTTAGGCCAGGCGAATCCCGGAGTGCAATGGGAACTCTGCAACCTAGGCCGTCCGCCTTTCTGATCACTGATGCACCCTGGCCAGGTAAGTATGGGGCCTAGATTTCTCAGGCTCTAGGGCTTAATTTCGCCGTTGGGGGGGGAATTTTGGCTTCCCTCCACTTTGATCTTGGTCCCATCATGTTTCTCTAGTGTTTTTCCATCGACCAAGGCTTTTTTTTACCTCAAACATCTTAAACTAGTGCAAATATTAATAAAAGGGTGATTTGGGGGGCTTTTCCCGCGCAAATGTTCTGTCTTTTGCTAAGTTGGCAATGTGGTCTTGAATGCCTTGCCATCTGGGATGCTACCACCTCCCTAAAATCACACTGAGGGCATACTCACACCGGTGTGAGGATTGAGCCCTCAGGAAGGGGCCTTGCCATGATGTACATGTTCTGGGCTAAGGCCCCAGCAAGCCTCGTGCCCGCCCTAAGTGAAGGCG